ATAATTTTTAAATCCTCAAAAAAAATAAAGATTACATTTGGTTCTTATGATTTTTTAATTTATAATATTTTTTTATCTTTTTAGAATCAATTTGCAAACCGTCATTAGTAATAATGTATCTCAAAAATTCTACTTGAGTTGTGTAAAAGAAATATTTTTCTTAGTATATAATCTTGCATCTCTAATGTTTTGTAGTACAAGGCAAATATATTGTTCATGTTCTTTTATATTCTTAAAATGGATAAGAATATTTTTAAAATAAGAAAAAATATTATTATATAAATATTCATAAAATATATTATTTATTAAATACTAAAAAACAAAAAATAATTACAAGATCAAAAAGCATGATATTCTATTTGAAATGGCCATATCTAATTTGAATTATAAACTTCTATTCATCTCTTTTTTTAATATATATGAAATTGTAAATTTTTTGTAGATCTATTTGAATATAGATTTTAAAATTATTTAATTAATTTAAGAGTTCAAATATTAAAGACAAAAAATAATGATTCTTGATATTTAGTTTATTAAATCCACAATAATCCACACATATTTGCAAGGATCTATTTTATTTTATTTTATTTTATTTTTCACAAAGAAAATTAATGTAATTTCAAGAGATTTTTATTTTTAAATAAAATACTTTACAAGTTTTTATTAATGTATTCTTTCAAAGTATTTGTCAAGGATATTGATTACAAAAAACCAAAATGTAAATACACTTATATGTCATTTCAGAAGAATAGATATTCATTCAAAAGTAATATAGTATTAAAAATTAAATAGCTATTATCAAAGACAAGAAGATTAAAAACACTTGAAATAAGACTAAAAAAAAGAAAAGCATTGATAAGAGTAAAGAAGGCATCACTTTTACCTCTATATATATATATATATATATATATTATCTAATTAAGAACTACATAATAACATTTTATAGATCCTCTAATAAGTGTCTAACTTTTAAGACATGTATCTAACTTGTAAGACATCTATAAAGCTTCTAAGAAGCTTTTCCACAAGATATTATTAAATCTACTTATTTTTAATTATTTCTTTAGTCTAAATTAATATATATGTCCATAACATTATTCATCCTTCTTCTTCTCTCCCTTCCTCTTCTCTTTTTGGGAGAAATGGTCATTACATGTTAAAGAAGTTTGAGATGCAACGAATTGTATTTGCTACATACCAAAATTTTTGTTCCTCTTGCAGATAATTGATAGGTTTTTTCAAACATCAATAGTGCCGATATTATAGCATGAAGATCACTCTAATATTATGTCATTATTGACACAATTGTAATTTTTTTTAATTAAAACATTTGAAACAATATCAAAGGTGGTTCCTACCTCCAATAATATCACCAAATATTGGAAGTATCTTCCAAGGTCGTGATACCAAATACATTATATGTTACCATCTATTAAAATAAATAAATAAATAAATAAACAAATAAATAAACATGTCTTTTTTCAAGTTCTTCATTCTTATTATATTATCTTGAAGGTTGTGACAATCTCAAAGCCTTTGTTTGATAATTTTGCAAATAATATCTTTTGAGTTAAATGTATTGGTTGTTAATTCTCTATCCATTAATAATACAAATATATAGAAACGACAAATTAGGATAGAAAAGAGAATGCAATCTTTACTAAAGTTCATTTTTTTTATAGTAAGGAATTGCATGACTTTTCATAATAGTTTTAGTAGATGTTATTGATTAAAAGTATCAACCTTCTTTGCTACATTTGCAAGATTTTTAGATAGCTTCTGTGTGAGTTCACTAATATCATATTTGCACCAATGTACTAGATATTGCAACCTAATTTGGCACCACCTTGAATCTAAGATTTCTTTAATCTCAAACTCTTAAACATTATCTATTTTTATAAAAGGTGGCATTTGTCTTCTTCTTAATATATCCATTGTCTTGTATGGCTCAAGAAGAGACATATGGAATATGGAATAGATTTTTATACACTTTAATAGGTATAATTGTAATAAAATTGATTTAATTTATTTATAAATAAGAAATGATCTAATTCTATAGTAATCCAATTTGTCACAAAGGCGATTAGTCTTAATATTATGACAAAATAACCATACTTTATCTCTAACATGGAATTAAAGATCTTCCTTGCAATGGGCATTTACATTAATCTTTTGTTGTTCTTAAGCTTTCTTTAATAGTGTCTTTATTGTCACATGTAGCTTTAATAAACAATTTGCCAAATTTTCCTCCATAATATTATCAACTTTTGAAAATTATCACCTTAACAACAAACAAAGACAATGTTGTTATATACTAATTTGTTTAAGTTAAAACATGATTTGTTTGTTGAAAAGGCTACTTAATGCAATAATTACAAATAAATATATATATATAAATATATATATATATATATATATATACAAGGTTGAATGTATTTGATATTCAAATAAAAAATTATAAAGCTTCAATTTTTCAAGAAATTTGGATTTTTAAAATATAAAAAACCACAAATAGCTATGTTTATATTAAAAGAATTATTAAAAAAATCAGTTATATTTAAATATTTGAAATTTTATTTTTTTATAAATTTATACTTAAATTCATATATATTAAATTGTGCAACCTGTGTATGTATATTAACAAAAACCTTATCTTTTAAACTACAAGAAACACATATTATGGATGCATGCAATATTGCCAAAAAAGATTTCAACTTATAATGTTTACTTTCCTTTTTATTTTACTTTTTTATTTTTATTTTATTTTTTTCAAAATTCCATTTTAAGTGCGAAAAATTAAACCACTCAAAGGTTTAAAAAAGAAGAAGAAGGGGCATTGTTTCCAAGGCTACCTTGATCCAGATGCTATCCACCCTGCAGCATGTTGTGGACTCTTCTTCCTAGTCACCACCCATGTTAGAAAATCAATAACATGGTTGCTCAACAGTTCCAAGTAGAAAACCTTTCTCACAAACCCATGAATTTTCTGAGGTTCATGCTGAATGCTACACCTCCAGATTGTGATGTGGGGTTGTCATGTTCTGCACCAGAAAAACGCAGTTTTCACATGCACTGCAGGGTGTTGGAAATTTGCTTTGGAGAGGCCTGCATGAGATGATCTACTGTCATTGTTGCACACAACATTTTCACTGCATAATTGCTCCGGCTTCTTTGCACACAAATTTCTGACTTGCCACAATTGTTGGTAAGCACAAGGACAAGGGTGACCCAACAAAGGGAGAGCCTGTGTTTTCCCATGACCTTTTTCTCATGGAATCCTAGCTCAGCCACCTCAATGACAGCAGCCTAATGATATCAGTACCACCACAATTATCTTGCACAGGATGCCAACTTTTTTGTTATTGCATATATTGGAAAAGTCCTCAATGAAAGAGACTCACAATGGGGATAAAGAGATGGGATCAATGCTATGTCTGTAGTTCCCATGGGGATAGGAGATATATATATATATATATATATATCATTTTCTTTAGGGTTCGGACACTTGGGATGGTGAATCCATATGTTTCAAGAAAAAAAATATTTTTGTGTCAGACTTGAAAAAGATATTCTTATATTTTGTTGTAATTGTTGGTACTAAAGCACTTCTTTACCATTGACAAGTTTTGGTAACACTACTTTATGACTTAATAAATTTTTGAGTACAAAAAAAAATGAGAAAAAGATTAAAAGCTACAAGAAATAGATGGGAAATAACATGTAAAAGTGGATCATTTATCATAAAAATCATTGATGTATATTTCTTGAAACACTTTATTTATTGATGTACAATTTTTCAATCAAATGTTCTAAAACAACAATCTAGTTTTAGAACATTTGATTGAATCTTAAACTAACTCACTTTTGTTCTTACTATCTTGAACCATATCATATATTCTTCTTTAATCTAAAAGTCATCTTTGGATTTTGATAAATTTGCCTTCAATGTCAACCAAATGGAATCTAAAGCCAATCTTGCATTAGAGAGTTGGAATCATTCTAATTTAATCTATAATTAACAAAAATACCTACAAACCCCTTGGTTACTTGTCAACATTTGTGAATGAGGAATAAAAACTTTTAAGATGCAAAATTGAGGAATTGGTGAGTAAATATAACCTTCTTTGGATTGATGAGGAATATATGACAAAGTACATGATGCTAAGAGCTAAGGTGAATCAAGTTTAGATTGGGTTGACTTAATATTTTCCAATTAATTTAAAAAATCATACAATTGTCAATTTAATCTTAGAAATACATCAAACAAAACAAAATTTAAAATTTAAAATTTGATAATAATATGTCTATATATCAATGAAAAAAAGTGATATAAATTAATTAAAACTCTTCAAAATAAAAACTTTAAATTCCTAATTCAACCAATAATATATATATATATATATATATATATATAATAGATAAAAATAAAAAACTAATATAACTTAAAACAAAACTATAATGTACAAGGTTTTAAAATGAGTATAACTTTTTACAATATATAGTTGTCCCCCCCCACTAATTAATATTGTCCATTCCAAAAATATTTTTTAATTATTACAACAATGAACGACACTAGATACCAAGATTCTAGCTGATTAACTATTAGAAATAACTAGTTTTGGGGGATTGATTATCAAGGAGACAAATGTGGTATCAAACTTGTCATCCAAATGTCATTTAAAGGCATGTGATTTTATACCTTACACAAGTTCTCTAAACCTAATGCCATAAAACTCACAACACAATTCCGTTCAGAAACAAACTTATAAAAACGGGTCACAAGTTACAAAATCGAACGTTTCGAATTCATTTGTGTCATAAGCAAATGGGTATCAATAACAGTAACCAGACAAAACCATGTTTGAAGAATATGCACATCCTCAATTCATACAACCAAGACCTTCAAGTTTCCAAAAACAAAATGGAACCAGGAATTGAAAGCAAAGTCAATCACTTCAAACGTTGCCAGTACAGACAGTCCACACAAAGCCACACAAGGATTCCACAATGTGGTTCTGGTTTGATCATCGTTTGAAGCAGATGCCACATAGGAAATACTGGCATCCATCATTGTACAAGAGTTTGATGCACTAACTACGACCACTATGATGCAGATAATGCAGTGCTCCAACATCGTAAGCATTCTGGAATAAAGCCATCCACCAAATTCACCGCAACTCAGCCCCCACAAGACCATTCTGGCATCAGAAGGATGAGAAGGACGAACATGCCAGTCTCAACTAACCCAATCCACTACACTGAACAACCGGCTCCTACTCAGACGAACGGGAAGATAAGCAATTTCAGAATCTATGAGCACACGGATAACCCTACAAACCAGTTGGCCATTCGTTTCTCGAAGCAGAAACACAACTATCTGTAAGTCGTCCAGCACACCTATACAAGATCACTGTTGGATCCAAAGCTTGTCCAATCCTGCAGCCGCTCGCTCTCTCTTCCACACCCCACCTGCGCTGCCTCCAGCATGCAGCGTGAACCTTCACACCTCTCCTTCATCCCCATGCCCCAATGCTTCGCTCTCTCTCTCGACATCGTTTGGGCAACCAGGTTCGCATCATTCGCACCATCCCACGCGACCTTTTCCCTCGCTTTGCTCTTCCAACGGAGCCTCCACACGTACGAACAAGCTTGCCGCTTCTTCCGTACCTTGGGAGATGATCGACAACACCCCACCATCGACAAAAATCTCCTTTCTCCATCCTCTCTCTCCTCTCGCGCCGCCACTGCCTCACCCCGAGCTCGTCGGAAACAGCGACAGCAGCCGCCTCGGAGGTGAACCCGCTCGGTTCTCCACGTAGCTGTGAGCGTTCTGGCTCTGCGGGCTCGCGTGGTTCCCGTTCTCGCTCTCCGATATGTGCTCCGTTCGGTCCTTCGTCGCCGGCCGTTGCACAAACCTCCTGTTCACTCCATCGTATGACATCTGCTCGTACCCACCAAACTGTGCCGTCCCCAGAGGCCCTACCCCCCCGCCTGGGAATGGCATCGCCACCCCCACCGCTGGATACGACGCCGGACCCACTTCCTCCCTCTGGTTCGTCATGTATTGCATCCCCAAGTTCGAAGGCAGCGAAGTCGACGCGAACAGCTGATCGTTCGCCATTGGCCCGTCCGACGGCAGCCCCTGCATCCTCTTCAGATACAGCCGATACTTCTGCAAGTGCGACGCCACGTTCTCCCGCGTCAACCCTTCCACGTTCATCAGCTGCATGATCGTCTTCGGCACTGCGTTCTTGATCCCCAAGTGACCCACCGCATCCACGAACCGCTTGTGCAACTGCGGAGTCCACACCAGCCGAGGCCTCTTCAACGTCCGTGCGTTCGCCTCCTCGTTGCTGTTCACCGGACCCCCTCCCGAGTCCGTGTCCTCGAAGTCCGAATCCGCCAGCTTCCTTGCATTCTTCGCAGATCCCCCGCCTTTGCTGCTATCGTCCCCCCTTCCCCCGTACGACGAGCTCTCCGGTCTCCTTTCATACCCCGACCCATACCCTTGCAACCCGTTCTTCATGAATGGAAGCCCCGAACTCTGCTCCGACCTCCCCTCACTCGGGTTGTAAGTCGCCCCATCGCTCCCACCTCTGAAAACTCCCGACATCGGGTGCCCTTGCGAGAAACTTCCTCCGCCATGTGAACCTGACCTCTGCCTCTCAGCAACCGTCACTCGATCGCACTCTCTGTTACTGCAGCTGCCACCGCTTCCTAGTCCTAGTCCTAGTCCTACTTCAACCTCGGGTTCTGCGGTCCCTCTCCCGTCTCCTCTCGCGTCGCCACGCCCTTCGGCAGTGAAGTCTGCGGTAATGCTCTTGCCTCTCTTATCAAATTGACCGACACCTCTACCATCTCTGTCATCTCCAGCCTCAGCTAGACACCCATACACCCCTGCAATCATAAGTCATGCATATCGGCGCCCACTTCTAGGAACCGCAAAAGACAAGCATCTGTAGTTGAGCAGGTTTTCCACTAATTAAGTATAGGATCATTATGTGTCGGGAATGTTTACACAACCACGATTCCTCCTATGTTTTAGGACGACGAAGAACTAGTTACGCACCCTCAACCTACCAATTTCTGCGTCAGACACTTCAGATCATAAAAAATAAATTGCAATTTCGATGCACAACCTTCACACCTACAATGTCTAACCCCACACACAGGCATACTGGCACACAGACTAATGGCCAGTCCGGGAATGGAATGTGCATTACCTGCATTTTTAAGCTCTTTGAACGGTGGGAACGGGTTGAACGACATGGGAGTAGATCTCTGAACCTGCAGATCAAGAAAGCTAGCATGGGATTCTCGACTCAGGTCGGCCGTGGACTTGGATGACACGGGCTGTATGCTGAAGCACGATACCATAGCAGAAGATTTCAATGACTTTGATGAGGGAGTCAATTCTTCGCCTTTGGGCTGGCGATGCTTCCAATCCAATACATAGTCTTCATCTTTCATCGTCATTCCTACTACATTAGCTCTCACACGCATGCATACTGTAACACCTTCTCCGCCCTCCCTCGCCTTGGAATCTTCACTCTGATGACAGTAGTCACAAATGAGATGCTCCAAAGTCTCCACCGCCAGTCAATTCATTGCCCGTCCAAATGCCAAATATCCTCATCTCAGGCTCAACCGAGAGCTTCTTGAAGAGTGTCGCTGCGCATGCAGCCCCAAATATCCAAATTCACTGCAATAATAACCAATACTAACACATGTTCAATGCACCGCCTCCCAGCCAGCCTTCTATGGTCTACATCTTAACCACAATCTGGTCATAAAATAAATCTGCCTCTACTACGAACTAAAATGGGCAGCAACCGCCCTACATAAATACACTTATGCTACAATGTATAATATAATTCCAAATTCCGTTTTTTTTTACAAACGACACTAGTCATAACGACACTTTCTGAAGTGAATGAGCCGCTGTAAGAGTACACGTAAATCACCTCCAACTCTCGCCCCTACAATAGCATCTACCTAAAATGTACCCCGCCTTCAATCCACCCTACTCATCATCCCTATACCAATCGGACTGTGCTACTGTTGGAGCCCGTCAAATTGCTCCGCTTCTGCCACATCATCGCTTGCCACCACACGCCCACTACCACCCAATACCCCACCCGGCACCTCCACACCTCACCCAATTTCTCCCGCCCCATACCCTCTCGCTCTCTCTCGCCTATCTCTCTCCTTTTCTCTCTCCTTCCCGCTCTCCTCCGATCTCCAAATGCTCTCTGCACCACACCAGATTTCGTACCTCAGCCACGCCCCTTCTCACCCACACCTCCGCACCGGATCTCTCCTCCGCAGATACGCATACCCCCTACCGTGCCGAGCAGCAAACGGTGCGCCCAACGTTGCCATCCTTCATGCCCGTTCCACCAACATTACTGGACTTGCCCCAACAACTCGCCCTCGACGTCTCCCCGAGCGAGCCCTCATGCACGCAACCACCTCGCCCTTCTAAGCTCCGTCTCTGAAATCCGTCAGACCGCGCTCTGACCACCCACCCATATTCCACGTGCCCGACCTCCCGAGTCCACCCCACCCACTCCAAATCTCCTCCGCCTCCGAAAAACGGTGCCCAAAATCTTCAAACCCCTGCAACCCCACTGCACCTCCACGAACCCCCTCCCTCCCCGGCCTTACCACCGTGGAAGCACCTCCTCACAACGCAATCACCCCGCACTTGCAACAGCAGCAGCAGCAGCAGCATGTCGAGCTCTCGTGGCTCTTCGCGCCCTGGCGCCCCAATTCAACACTCCCCTGAACTCCTGCTCGCCGCCCGCTCCACAATCTAGCCGCTCTCCTGTACCAAGCGCCCCGAATCACGCCGCCGATCCCACGGCCTTCCCTCCCAACCCGCCCAAAAACAAACTTGGTCCCAAAATACGCGCGATACCGGAAATCGGCCTGGTTTGCCCTCCATCTGGACCACCCTCCGTCCCTCCCTGTCCTGGGCGTCGTCGCCCCGACACACACACACAGCAGACAGAAGACAACGCCACCAAATCCTCCTTCCTAGATATGTAACGAACCGAATCACATCATCCGGCCCCCCATTCCACGCACCACCTCCACGAAGACCAACATCTCCCAGTAGTCACCAGTCAACACTTCCCTTCCCTGCTCTCCCTCCACTCCACCACCATCACATTTGCTCGTTTCGCTCACTTTCCAGAATCAGCTCAACGTCCTAAACTCTCAACTCTCTCTGCCTCGCTCTCTCTATGTCTCTCTCTCTCTCTCGCTGTGTGTGTCGTCGAAGCTCCTCCTCCCACTTGGCTGGCTTCCATCCTTCCTTCCGTTGCACTCTGTGTATTTTTTTTCCAGTTGCAGTGGCCCCCTGCGCCGTAGACAATAATAATAATACCCCGAGGGGAGGGGAGGAAAGAGAGAGAGAGAGAGAGAGAGAGAGAGGGGGGGGGGGTGTGTTTGATCAATGCCAAGCCCGGCGTGGCTGGTGCTGTCCTCTTCCCTCCTCCTCTCTCCCTCTTCTTCCCCCTCCTCTGCTCTGTTCTGCTTCCTCTTCCTCCTCCTCCTCCTCTCCAGGCAAAGCAAGCTCCTCGCTGCTGCTGCTGCTGTTGCTGACGCTGCTGCTGCGACTGCGGCTGCGATGCGTTCCCTGTGAGGACCCAACAAACAAGGGAAGCGGGTGGGGTTACAATAGCCAGGACCATTCTGTGCCCTGCCTTGTTGGCCATGTTATTCCAAAATAGCCATCTCTCAAATGCATATGAACTGAATTCACCATTCTCCATTCCATTAACTCCCCTTCCCCCCCTCTTTCAATTTCTTTCTCTACTTCATCTTTCGCTTCTTCCTTTCTTTCTTCTCTCGTTCTCCTTTCTTATTCCTTTTTCGGGGGATGGTGCTATGTTTCTTGTTTAGTTTAATTGATTTCTACAAAAGTGAAACTATGTTTTTAGTGTACTGGATGTGTTGATTTCATAGTTGAATGGGCACTTATAGTTGAATTTTGTAGGAATTAGAGATTTATCTAGTATAATTTCATATGGCAATTTTCAAGCTATGAACGAGTTTCCAAAACAACTTAACTGACTCAATTCTTAGATAGCTTCTTTGTTGTCTTAAATTATGTTTTTATTTCTATATTACTGGGTTACATGTGCAGTGAACATACCATGATTTGACATTGCAATTTAAGATACATAACACCAAAAAATAATAATAATAATTTGTGGGCAAATTTTGATATGAAGAGACTTTCATTGTTGTGTTTATTAATGGAAATGAATGGTTTACAAAGATCTAAAATGATTTGAATGGAATTTATAGTAAAAATATTATGCTGAAGGAAAAGAGAGAAACAAAGTACAGTAGACAAATTATGAGAGTATTAGCATGTTCCCATTTTTTATATTCATTATGTTACAGTTATAGTCAGTGTTTATATTTTATGTTTTACTTGTAAATTGAAAATATCAATTAAATGTTGTTCAGCATCCACTTTGAAATCTTCAGTGAGCAACTTACAATTACAATAAAAAGAAAGTTGAAGTTGATATGTAAAATCCATGATAAATGTTATTGATTCTGCATCGTTTATAGGTCTTTTTCGCATCTAAAAGAAAAAAAGAAGAAAAAAAGGACCATTTTGTACTTAAAATCAAGAACCACAACTCTCAAACGTTCGAGGCTCTCCACCAATGGATGCTTCCCAAAGCTCCAAACAAGTCCACGTCATGCGAATGGTGGAAACAATGCTCTCCCTCGGTTCTTTTACGTTCCCAATGCCGTTCCAGTGCCCCCTCTCTCTCTTTCGTTTCTATGATTGCGTTCCGATTATGGGTTCGAACCCAGGGGTTAGCCTCGTTCGTTCTCTAACCCTAATTATTTATAAAAAGAAACCATGCTAATATGGGATATGGGGAATAATATCGTACCGTTAATTGGCTGACTATCTATCCCACCAGGGAGGGGGGAATCACCAGGACCAGACACTATCGGCACTAGGGAGGGCTCTTAAATAGTTGTTGCAGGGGGGAATCCACAAAGGCAAGCATCACATGCTCACTTAAAGATCTAATTTTATATATATATATATATATCTATCACCACAGACTGTCTGTCTGTTCTGACGGCTCTCTGGGTTGCAGTGTTGAGAGAGAGATTCAACCTCCTCCTCCCCGTCTTTATAACGAATATTCGTCTTCATCCATCCATCTGGAACTTAATCCAACAACAGGGGAGTAGGTGCTCAGGTGGGCATGGGGAAGTAAGTAATTATGGAAGTCCCTCACCCTCTCATCAACGCTCGTGTTCTGCAACATAAGGGGAGAGCCTTGATGAGCCCAATTATTAGTAATTTATGAGATGCCTTCAATATGGGAGCATATTAAGTGGAACTTATTATTTGGAGTTCACACACACACACCCACGCACAAAGAGTTGTCTTTAGAACAAGAAATGTCTCCCTGCAGCACATGCTTTTAGTAACATGAAATCATGTAAAAACGCATTTTCATGCAAGGAACAAACCATCGAGAAATGTACCAAATTGCAAAGTGATAACATCAGTTTCCTTGCATTTACGTATATGTCTAGTTATTTGATTTTAATTGTGATTGTGATTTTTATTGCTATCTTTTGTTATTTTCAATTCTAAGCGTGTTTTTTTCATTTGTGTAATTAACTACTATTGCTGCATTTCTTGAGTCATGTAATTAATGTTGAACATATTTTGCAATATATATATATATATATATATATATAATCATATTTTTATTTTTTTCTATTAAAATTTTGTTTTGTTTTGTTTTGTGTGATGTTATAGTAAGAAGAACTTACTTTTATGTTGAAGCATAGCTAAAACTTTTTAATTAAAAGAATGACTATTATTAATATTATCATCCATAATAAACTCATGAAATAAATAAATAGAATACTAGTGGTTAGATGAGCTTAGATAGTAGACAGTTTGGTTTAAATATGGTATTTTTTTTTTACAAAATTGACTTTACATCTTCATTTTATGAAATTACTTTCTGGCCCTAGCACCATGTATTACATTTGATTTTTAATCTTTGTGTTAGAAAAAAAAAAAAAAAAAAAAAAACTATTATATACAATATGAGTGTTTTTGTTTATCTTCTAAAGGATTGTTTTCTCTACTTGGTTATACAAAGTCTAAAACTCAGCCTCTATTAGTGCCATATAGATGTTTGAGATAGATGTGTAATTTTTATTTGTTTATCTATTATTTTCTTGGATGGTGATCACTCATTTTTAATTTTTTAATTTTGATTTTTTTGATTTTTTCCATGCTCCATGTTTCCATTTCAATTTATTTATTACATTATTGATTTGAAGTTGACTTCTCTTGAATTTTTTTTTCTTTTTAAATTGATAATATTATCATATCTTCTCTATTTATATGCAACCTATCTCTACTGGAAGTTGAAGTTAAATAAACCTACAACTTGCATAAATAAAACTACATGCTTAAGATCAAACAAAAGTGCAATTGACATACTTCTATGAATAGATTCAATGTTGAAAGTTAACTTGAAAAAAGTGATACATCCACAATGTTGAGGTTTTTGAAGAGAAAAAGCTTTAAAAATTGTGCACACAAAGAAATCACACACACAAGGATATATAAGATGAATGTAGTAGTGAATGTAAAAAAGACACAAATTGGTGAAAAATCAAGTATAGTAATCTTACTAACATCCAAGGATGAGAGCAAATCAAGAGTTGGCTTCCATATATAAGTTTCTTGACTAAGCTTTCGTATGTCACATGTGACTCCACTTTTGTCAACTTTAATGAGAAGGTGATATCAATGACATGAATTGAAAGAAGATGCATAATCTTAAAAAATTTGTATAAAAAAAAAAGTGACAAAATAGAAATAAAGTAGTATGTATATTATGGCTATTGCCAAAAGACAAGAAAACAAGAAATTCTTAAATCTAGATTAGAAGCAAGAAAAGAGTTGACAAGAGTGAAGACGGCTTTACTCTTACCTCTATATATACTATCTAAATATGAGTTATGTGGTAGTGTTTTATAGGACCTCTAATATGTGTTGACTTTGCAAGACACATGCCTTAGCTTACAACACAAGTTTTTTACGTGTGGGCCATATAGTTAGCTTATTCTTCAAGCTACCAACATGTATAATATATGGCCAACTTGTTGACCACATTTTTAATCTAAAAATTCAATTAAAGACATCTATAAAGTCAAAGCAGCATCTATAAAGCTTCTAGAAAGCTTCTATAAAAAATATTATAGAATTGACCTACTTTTATCTACTATTATCCAAATCATATAAGTATTTATTGGTTTACATGTGTATGTCTGTGACATTATCCCCCCTTCTAGAAATGAATTCTACAAGGAGCGGCCTTTATATGTTGAGAAAATCTAAGATGCAATAAATTGTATTTGCTACATACTCCGATCTTTGTTCTCTTCGAAGAGAGTTGATAGGCCCTCTTAGCCATTGATAGTATCCCATACTAGAGTAAGAAGACCACCTTGTTATTTGGTCATTATTGAGGCCTTCATAACTTCCTTCAAATAAAACATTTGGAACACCATCAAGAATTGTTCCTACCTCTAATAAAATCACCAAACATCGGGAGTTTCTTCCAAGGTCTTAATATTAAATATGTTGTGGTACTATAATTGCTTATAATATATAAAAATTAGTTAGGATATATAATATATTCATAAGTCTTTGTGTATGTTAGAATGATTAATAGATTAATTTAAAGAAAGTAGATATAAAAAACTTTATTTTGAATTTTATCTAATTTGATTATAGCATTTAAAAAAATTATAGGACCTAAATGTTTAGTATGAAGCCTTGAGAAGAGATAAGAGCATAAGGAAAAAAATCTTAACTAGTAGGAGGCTTATTGGGAGGGATGAAAGCAAGGCATGGTTGGATGAAGGTAAGAAATAAGGATCTTCATTCTTATTGGTCTAAGGCTATGCCTAATAGACTCCAAGGAGGCTGTCCGAGGCCTTATTAGGGATTAGGGTTTCTTTTTTGAAGTCATTCAAGCTTTGGAGGCTAAGATTAGTAATTTTGGATTTTTGATTATGAATTGGGTGTAAATTTTGTGTGATTTGGAGTTTCTATGAAGAAGTTATTGGCACTCAAAATTAAGGTATCAATTTCATATCTACTGTCATTCTTTGAGATATAACATATATTTACAAAGAACAACAAAAGATCATGAATTGGAATTGAAAAAAATACTTCTTCAACTACACTTTTTATATGATGTTTGATAAATTTGTAGTTTAGATGAAGAAGTTATAGAGAGGTAAAGTCAGTGCATCCAAATCAAAGGCAGTAAGTAAGTGATTTTGTTCATAGTAATGGTTGGAGCCATATCTTAAGTTTTTGGATGAATTTATAGCTCAAACCTTATAGAGAAGGTAGATTATTGTATTAAGAAGCTATACATATAAATTTTGTGGCATTTAAATGTTTAGTTTGTGAGATATAAAGATAATTACATAAAGATGTATAAAAATTAAGGTTTGAAGCTATTATTAGGATTTTAGTGATATCTTAAGATTTACAATGAATTTGAATTTGAAATTTGTTGTAATAATTTCTAGCAGTATATTTGCACTTCATGTAAGATTTGAGAGTATTTGAATGGTCCGGTTGGAAG